AGGAGGAGGAGGAGAGAGAGGAGAGAGAGAGGAGGAGGGGGGGGAGCAAGGGGAGACAAGGGTGAATTAAGCTGGGAGAATGGAGGAGCGCGCGGCTCGACGCCATCTTGGCGTCGCGAAAACAGGCTTTCGCTCTTCTCGTATCCTTGTATCCTCGAGGATTGCCTTCTTCTTCTTCTTCTTCTTCTGTTAAGGGTGATTCGTTCGTTAATAGGGAAAATTTGTACCTTCTTCGCACGAATAAATTTCCGATAGTTTGGATTATAATTGGATTTTGGTAACGAACGAGGGTGGTTCAGAACAGGCTTTCGCTCTTTCGATCGTTCTCGTGCAAAATTTGCACTTTGCTCGTGAATAAATTATTTCGAATAAATTTGTTTGTTCTCGAGCTCGTTTTTAATCGAGGTTTAAATTCGATATCGCAGATTTTTATCTTACACTTGTCTTGTAACAATCACTCGTGGAAATTTGCAACGAGAATTTTGAATTTTGAAACATAAATATTCGAATTTCAAATGTATCGAATTGATTAGGTCAGGTTGGGATATTTCAATATAGAAGGAAGAGAAATGAAATTTCAACTGGGATAAAAATTTCTCTACTTCTCGAGTGAAGAGTTACGAAAGGATATTTGTACAAGCGAGGAAGTACGATAGCATCATTAAGGTTATGTTTGGAATGCAATTAGCGTGGAGCGATACAAGTTCAAGCAGCGTTTAGTGACCCTTTAAACACCGCTATAGTTGGTTGTTGCATGTTGCGCCTTTGGCTCGATCTCGTTAATTAAACTTCTTATGGGGGCTCGCGCGATAAGATTTAAATCGGTTTATTCGCAATTCGTCGAGTGGACGAATTTTTCGAGACGACGAGTTTCTTTCACTCGCGGTGAATTTTATCTCGATTCGAAAGGAGAATAGGAAGAAGGATTAGTGATAATTAACCGTGCGTTTTGCGTAACGTTTGCACACGATACAATGTCGAATGTTAATCATCAGGTTATATTTATTTATCTGATTCATCAAAGAGGAAAATAATAGATATGTAAGCAGATTGAGAAACCTGATTGCCGGATTAGAGTCTCTATCACCGGTCTTGGAATAAAAATTCATATTCAACGTGTGCGTTGTTTCCTTTTTTTCCTTCTTCTTTTCTTTTTTTTTTTTTTATAATTGTACAAAGAATAAAGGAAACAGGATAATAATTCGAAATCGAAGGGTAAATTAAATTAAAATATCGTCGAAATTGTCGCCATTATCGTTGTTCTCGATGTAACTGTTCGATTCCCACTCGACGATAACCTGGGCGAATCAATATCGAGTTCGAAATTTGAAATTGGAGAACCGTCAAAAGCACGTATCGTGCGCGAAAATAGTTTTCCGGGGCGGACGTTTAATGTATCGCAATCTAACCGTTAATACCGTAATTATCCTGTCGAAACAGTGCCTCTAAAACGACGTTAACTCGATAGCCATTAGTCACCGAGATCACGTTGTCATCGTGCACTCGCCAAAAAGTAATAAACCCCAAGGCTCCGTTCGTTAATTCATTAAACACTGGGGACTTTCAACGCCGAAGGCTCGGTCGTGAAACTCCTAACGATCCTTCTCAAATGCTTCGGCGTAGTCTTCCCGTGCCGACGAAATAATTAGGAATTAACGAACCCTCGGGCGTGACTGGTAAATCAAAACGACGTTTCGCAAGTTTTTGAACGAGCAACACACAATCACTCACCTCTTGTGTCTTTTCGCGCGCGCGATAAATTTTTTTTCCTTTTTCTTTCCTCTTTCTTTTCTTTTCTTTTTTTTTCTTCCTTTCTTTCTTTCTTTCTTTCTTTTTTCCTTTCGCCCGACCGATAACAATTAACAAGTATTTCCATACACGACAAAAAACACTCACGAGTTGTTGTTGTTGTTGTTGTTGTTGTTGCATTGTACAAATTTTCACGCACGGCTTAATACCTTCTTTTTTCCTTCCTCCTTCCTTCTCTCTTCCTTTTTTTTGTTTTTTCGTTCGGCTAATTACGAGGGGGATAATCGCGCTTAATTAGAAGCCTAATGAGGGGACACTGGGTCGCGTGTAAC